AGAATTTCAGAAAAAGTCTAGACTTCGCGAGCGAGATTCGCCGATCTCGATTGTTGTCGAATGATTCGAAAACAATCCACTGTAGGCCGTGTCCAGAGGACGTCCTGTCTTTCCGAGATTAGCAAATATACTAATAGCGCGGTTCAGAAACCGCACGCGATTGACTAATTTCTGGAATTACCTTCGTCGCCGCTGATAAAGGGCGCCTTGCGAATCTTACGTCTTTGCGATACTAAGAAGTGAATTAGATTGAAACTGTAGTTAAATCTAACGTCAGCTATTCGTATCCACTACTACCGTTCTATGAAAACAATTTCGGCCTTGTATATGCTCGAGCGGAATTTAAAAAGTCTTAGTAACGCGAATGTTTTGGAAGTCCTAGTAATGGAGAGACAGTAATAGCCGTCCTCTTTCTGCGTTTTTTGCTATCTCTTTTTCTTTTTAACGATACGATTTTTTGAATGACGATTCACTCGTGTGTCAGATCTTATTAAATCCTTGCAGCCATGTTTAAATATATTTGCATATTTGCAACCAATTATCATCTGTACTATCACATTAATATCATATCATTATATCTTCCCTGATTAGTAATACTAATATTATTAATATATTTTAATATATCAACAATAATATTCAATACTAATAATTTAATATATATTTATATTTTGATATATTATTAATTATTTTGATATATTATTAATGTATATTTCAATATATTAATAATCATTCTTCAAATTAGAGCGCGCACGCATACAGAGAATACGGCTTTTTATATAAATTCAGCACTTTGGATTAAATTAATCGTTAATATTACATTCTGTTTGTAATTTTAACGATATACAATTATCGCATAACCATATCTCATTTTAAAAATGATTTTTCCAATGGCCACATCTTTTCACTGTATAATAACAATTGATTCACGAGTAAACCGTCACTTACATCACAGATCTTGTAAATTTATGCGGAACTGGTTCGTCTTCGATTGCGCAGTTTCCAGAAGCGCCGGTCCCTCGACGTGTGATGAATAGAGATTGTATTCTGTGTCGTTCTAGACCCTCCCTTGTCCGGCATATACATCCTCAACAATCGCGCTGCCCTTTCCTCCTGCGAGCGATCCGCTGCTTTTCCGCTCAGAAAACTCAGCAGCTTCATGCTCCGTCTTTTTATCCTTAATCTATTCAGAAAGTTCGTCTCGCCGCTGCTGGATGGACTCATCGTACTATTCTGATCGTCGAAATCTTCTTCGAATCTTTTTGATCGTCTTAGTTGTTCGATCTGTCTTTTACTTCTCTGTCTTCTCTTGTCGCTCGTTTCGGCAACATCCTCCTTTTGCATCTCTTCTCGTCTCCTCTCCGCGTTCATCTTCTCGACGTTTCGAGAATTCGTTTCTTCCGCTCTTCTCGCGACAGCTTCCAATTCCCTCAGACGTTCAGCCTCCCTGGAGCTCCTGGAGCCGGGAGAATCGATCGTTTCCGGTTCGTAATTTACATTCGCGTCCACATCCGATAGTTTGCGGTGCAGATCGACGATCTTGCGGCGAAACTCTTCGTCCTCCTGGTTGAGCTTAGCGAAGACGCGGTCGCGGTCCTCCGCATTTCCGCAGACGTTCGACTTGGACGTCGTTTGAAACCGCTGTCACCACCATCCGACCTGGTGCTTGCCGCTGCCGGGCGAGTCCTCCTCTTCCGGCAGCGGCTCCAGCCGTCTCCTACCCAGGAAGCAGCGCAACGAACCTAGACTACCGCCGCCGCCAAGCAGCTGGTCCATGCTTAGCTCCGGCAACGAGCAGTCCTCGTTCTCCAATTCTTGATCGGCGTCATCTTCCGCCGACAGGTTTAGGCCGTAATTGTCCTCGCCGGTGTTCACCACTGCACCGCCGCTGCTGCAGCCGTTCGGCGGCGGCTAAGGAAGTCAGGCACAGCTCGGGCTAGTGATTCTTTGCAAAAAGAGAAACAGAAGGCAAGCCGTTCGTCATGCAGGCAAGCGTGCGAAGCTTACGTGTTATCTTGTATGTATGTTACGCTGCGTTTCCATATCATGGACGGCTATATATCGAGAATTAAAAAAGCGAATTTATCTGTCTCAAATAACAGTCGCCATATCAAGGATTATACACATTCAGCGAAAAAATGTGGGGATTAAATACGAACCATAATTTTCGGAATAATACTCTTGCAAAGATCACATTTGAATGCTAAGATTACTTGATATAATTTACGATAATATTATCATGTTATGTTTGTGCATATGTGTATATTGTGCGTTGAAACTCGTACTCTGGAAAAACTTTAAATTATAATATATAGAATATGATCGTAAATTTTACATTCAATGTGTGAAGTGCTATTTAAGTGAATTAACATTTTGAAGCTATTACGTCATTTTCAAGCAAGCTTATATAAAAATAATGACACGTATCAAGCAATCGTTATTTCTGTACGCAATATAATATAGACCGTAATAAATAATTTTTATTACGAAAGAGAACCTAATATTTACTTTAGAACTTATAAATATTTACAAATTTGACATGAGCAAAAGGCTCGACAAAAAGGCTATACAAAAAGTAGAAAAGTTATACAAAAATATCTTAAAAATAAAAAGAATTGCAATCGGATTGTGAGAGAGATCTATCCCCATAAATTATTTTATCTAAATCATTTATAATTATCTAAATTATTTATAATTATTATAAATCTTTATCTTTAAACGTGGCATTTTTGATAAATTACTATACATAATTTCATATAATAGATACTCGTATAATTCAATTTTCTATAATATATGAATTTATTTTTTTATAGAGTTAAATTCTTTAATTGCGTGACCGCTTGATACGCGATAAAATTCCTCGCAGCGTCGGAACTTGTTTCATTGTGCTTTCAAGCTTCAGCTATTTACGTTCGGATGCGAATATTCGTGTACCGTTCGTGGTCTCACAAAACATTATTACCGAATTGGCCATGAAACTCTCGTCGTCCGGTCCGCCGGAAGTCGGCGTGCCCCATATATCGTCGCCGGAAGTAGCCCCGGACGTAGTGCCCTTAGTAACGCGAATGTTTTGGAAGTCCTAGTAATGGAGAGACAGTAATAGCCGTCCTCTTTCTGCGTTTTTTGCTATCTCTTTTTCTTTTTAACGATACGATTTTTTGAATGACGATTCACTCGTGTGTCAGATCTTATTAAATCCTTGCAGCCATGTTTAAATATATTTGCATATTTGCAACCAATTATCATCTGTACTATCACATTAATATCATATCATTATATCTTCCCTGATTAGTAATACTAATATTATTAATATATTTTAATATATCAACAATAATATTCAATACTAATAATTTAATATATATTTATATTTTGATATATTATTAATTATTTTGATATATTATTAATGTATATTTCAATATATTAATAATCATTCTTCAAATTAGAGCGCGCACGCATACAGAGAATACGGCTTTTTATATAAATTCAGCACTTTGGATTAAATTAATCGTTAATATTACATTCTGTTTGTAATTTTAACGATATACAATTATCGCATAACCATATCTCATTTTAAAAATGATTTTTCCAATGGCCACATCTTTTCACTGTATAATAACAATTGATTCACGAGTAAACCGTCACTTACATCACAGATCTTGTAAATTTATGCGGAACTGGTTCGTCTTCGATTGCGCAGTTTCCAGAAGCGCCGGTCCCTCGACGTGTGATGAATAGAGATTGTATTCTGTGTCGTTCTAGACCCTCCCTTGTCCGGCATATACATCCTCAACAATCGCGCTGCCCTTTCCTCCTGCGAGCGATCCGCTGCTTTTCCGCTCAGAAAACTCAGCAGCTTCATGCTCCGTCTTTTTATCCTTAATCTATTCAGAAAGTTCGTCTCGCCGCTGCTGGATGGACTCATCGTACTATTCTGATCGTCGAAATCTTCTTCGAATCTTTTTGATCGTCTTAGTTGTTCGATCTGTCTTTTACTTCTCTGTCTTCTCTTGTCGCTCGTTTCGGCAACATCCTCCTTTTGCATCTCTTCTCGTCTCCTCTCCGCGTTCATCTTCTCGACGTTTCGAGAATTCGTTTCTTCCGCTCTTCTCGCGACAGCTTCCAATTCCCTCAGACGTTCAGCCTCCCTGGAGCTCCTGGAGCCGGGAGAATCGATCGTTTCCGGTTCGTAATTTACATTCGCGTCCACATCCGATAGTTTGCGGTGCAGATCGACGATCTTGCGGCGAAACTCTTCGTCCTCCTGGTTGAGCTTAGCGAAGACGCGGTCGCGGTCCTCCGCATTTCCGCAGACGTTCGACTTGGACGTCGTTTGAAACCGCTGTCACCACCATCCGACCTGGTGCTTGCCGCTGCCGGGCGAGTCCTCCTCTTCCGGCAGCGGCTCCAGCCGTCTCCTACCCAGGAAGCAGCGCAACGAACCTAGACTACCGCCGCCGCCAAGCAGCTGGTCCATGCTTAGCTCCGGCAACGAGCAGTCCTCGTTCTCCAATTCTTGATCGGCGTCATCTTCCGCCGACAGGTTTAGGCCGTAATTGTCCTCGCCGGTGTTCACCACTGCACCGCCGCTGCTGCAGCCGTTCGGCGGCGGCTAAGGAAGTCAGGCACAGCTCGGGCTAGTGATTCTTTGCAAAAAGAGAAACAGAAGGCAAGCCGTTCGTCATGCAGGCAAGCGTGCGAAGCTTACGTGTTATCTTGTATGTATGTTACGCTGCGTTTCCATATCATGGACGGCTATATATCGAGAATTAAAAAAGCGAATTTATCTGTCTCAAATAACAGTCGCCATATCAAGGATTATACACATTCAGCGAAAAAATGTGGGGATTAAATACGAACCATAATTTTCGGAATAATACTCTTGCAAAGATCACATTTGAATGCTAAGATTACTTGATATAATTTACGATAATATTATCATGTTATGTTTGTGCATATGTGTATATTGTGCGTTGAAACTCGTACTCTGGAAAAACTTTAAATTATAATATATAGAATATGATCGTAAATTTTACATTCAATGTGTGAAGTGCTATTTAAGTGAATTAACATTTTGAAGCTATTACGTCATTTTCAAGCAAGCTTATATAAAAATAATGACACGTATCAAGCAATCGTTATTTCTGTACGCAATATAATATAGACCGTAATAAATAATTTTTATTACGAAAGAGAACCTAATATTTACTTTAGAACTTATAAATATTTACAAATTTGACATGAGCAAAAGGCTCGACAAAAAGGCTATACAAAAAGTAGAAAAGTTATACAAAAATATCTTAAAAATAAAAAGAATTGCAATCGGATTGTGAGAGAGATCTATCCCCATAAATTATTTTATCTAAATCATTTATAATTATCTAAATTATTTATAATTATTATAAATCTTTATCTTTAAACGTGGCATTTTTGATAAATTACTATACATAATTTCATATAATAGATACTCGTATAATTCAATTTTCTATAATATATGAATTTATTTATAGAGTTAAATTCTTTAATTGCGTGACCGCTTGATACGCGATAAAATTCCTCGCAGCGTCGGAACTTGTTTCATTGTGCTTTCAAGCTTCAGCTATTTACGTTCGGATGCGAATATTCGTGTACCGTTCGTGGTCTCACAAAACATTATTACCGAATTGGCCATGAAACTCTCGTCGTCCGGTCCGCCGGAAGTCGGCGTGCCCCATATATCGTCGCCGGAAGTAGCCCCGGACGTAGTGCCTTCCTCGTCGTTAGGATCCAACGAAAATTCGGTTCGCTCCGGGGGTACTGGTGGTTGAAGAAGATAACCACCGACACCCTCGCTGAGCTGTTCCAATAAAACCATCTTACTGACGACGTAGTTGCTCGCACGGGCGGTCCACGCTCTCAAGCCGGACGGCGGCGACTCCAAGTCCCGATTGTCGTCTTCCCTCTGCTCATCCAGCTCGTCATCTTGATCCAGACTGCTCATCGTACCGAACCGCCTCAAGGCTCTGTGCAAAATAATCGTTAGGAGCGTAGAAAATCGGATTAATTAAAATTTAATTAAAAAGAGCAAGTAGATAAAGTAAAAAAATAATCACTTTTAGATTGAATAAATTATACCATAAATAATCGCAGTTTTACGAGTCTGTGATAATTTATCACATACGCCTTGATTGAATTTACTTGATCAAGTTAACAAACTTTTTAAATTATTTCCATTTTGTTTCCAATAATTAACAAATTAGCAAATCTAAAGATATTAGTTTCCAATAATTTATCGTACCTATAAGGGGGTTCTCCGTCACAATCGAGATCGTCCTCGCTGCCATCTTCGGTGTTACCATCCGCAGGCGTGTAATTGGGACTGTTACATCCCGGGCTATCGTGCAGTCCATTTCGCAATCTGTGTCTCGTGCAGAGATCGGGGGTCGGTGGAAGAACTGAAATTTTTGGGGGTAACGGGGAGAACGGATCCCTCTGTAATGGTGGAGTAGGACAACCCGATCTGTAATAAGCAATCACGATCTGATATTAGAGAGAAAGAGAGAGAGAAAGAATCACTTAACAAAATGATTTTTATATCTTACATTTTACGACTCAGAAAATTTTTTCACTCTTACTTTTATTTTATTGTGAAAAAAATGACTAGTAAATTAAAAATAAAATGTCGAATTATTTAAATTGAAAAAATATTTAAATATTAAAAATATTAAAAATTTTGAAAAAGGAGAGAAGAAAAAGAGAGACTGTGTTTTTAACATTACGCAAATTATTACCTATGGCACCTTCGGCAAATGTTGATAGAGCTCGTTGAATTCTCCTTTGAAGACACATAACTGCCATTCTTCCGCGTCATGTTATTTGATTTTACAGTACTTAGACTTGCACTCGACGCAGTACTTTGTTGTTCCGCGTCGGAATTCGCCGTCGTAATCTCTTCCGTCGCAGTGTCCTGGCTGGTCGACCTGCTGTTACTTTCTCGAGGAGCTCGGGCCGCCAATTCCTCCGCCGTCCACTCCTCCAGTGAACTCTCGTTATCCGGAGGAGGGATTTGATGCGAATTGCGCACCCACTGAGCCAGGTGATTGTTCTCTCGAGAGTTCTTCAGGATCGTATCCAGGCTTTCACCGGATTGCGACTCCTTTTCCTCTTCTTCTCGTTGTTGAGGCTCTCTCACGATCTGTCATTGATTTCAGAATTTATTAGACGTGCAATTGTGTAAATTATTATTATTTCCAATAATTATTCAAATCATATTAAAGATTAGCTTTGAATATTTAACTTCGTTCTCGAACAATTGAAGATTTTATTTTGCAATTTAATTTTACTTTTTTATCTTGTTATTCGTGTGTGCAAAAATGCATGAATATTGATTTTTTACAATCAAATTTTTTTAAATTGTCGATATTTTTCCCTTACCTGCGCAATTCCCGTGGATTCTCTGACCGCGGCAAAATTATTACCGACAATTGGACTCTCTTCCGGGCTATCCTGATCCGACAAATTCAAGCCACAGCCTGTATTCACATAGATGCTAAAATACAATGAAAATTGACGTCCGTAAATAATACTTTGTCCATCCGCGCGACTCCTCGCTTATATCTTCGTCAAAAATTTATTTTAACACCTGGTCTCCCATTCACTTACATTTGCCGTTGAAGAAGATTGTGCCAGACGGCTTTAAGCTCTGCAGTAGGCGCTCGAAAGATGAGAACGCGTCTTCGAAGTCGACTGTGCGGGCTGCAACCGCCACTGTTCACCATCTCGGCGTGGCCGTTCTCCGAGTTGCCATTCGGGTTTACGGCGACCTGTAACCGAAATTCCGTCGGTCGTTTTCGCACGGTGAAGCACGCCTCGGCGATGCTGGACAATCGTAGGGGCTCCTCGGTGACGAAAAGCACGCGGTCTCGCGAAACCCGCGCGAATACCAAAAGATCGGTCAGTAGCAGCGCCCAGGACGGCTGCAGACGCGCCCGACCTTCGACCTTAGCGAGAGCGCCGCCGAAGAGCCTAAAATAAAGATTCAATTTTTTCATAAATATTACATTTGAAAATTTTTTACGGATAAAAATAGTAATTACAGCATCAACGAAATCAAACTATTTTTAATCAAAAATTCTCGAAGACGAAATGAATAAGCAATAATGTTACGATGTTAATGTTAATTGTATATCAGAAATTATCTATTTTTATGGGGATATAAGAATCAGAGTATAGTTTATTTGTCATAGAACTTAAGAAACTTATATTAAATTAAAGTTTTATATATATATATTTATAGAGATAATAAATAATTTATGGAGATAATAAATAATTTATAGAGAGATCTCAATTCGCATAGATCGTAATTCTTTTTATT